TCCGCGAAGCCTCGGCCCCAACGCCGGCTCCCCGTCCGAGACTACAATTCCCGAGCCCCCGCGCCAGCGTCACGGGGGAGACGTGGGCGGTGCCCGGACTTCGGGGAACCAGGGCGCCGGGGGATGTGGCCTGGGGACCTCTGACACTGAGATCTAGGTGGTTGCGTTTGCCGTTTCGGTGGTGGAACCGCCGGTTCCACGTGATATAGTCACGATGCCCATGGGTGCACCAAGGCCGTTCCACTGAAGCGCACGTTTTGCAGCTGAGACTTGGGGAGCTCCATCAGCGTGGCGCCCCGAGCCTGCCTGTGCCCCACGAGTGAGGCAGGTCTGCGAAAGAGCGCGCGTCCGCAGAGGATCGCGCACAGCCTTGGCTGATCTTAAGAAATCCAAGCGTACAGTATTTGGCTTCTGCTTCCTCTGGCTTAGCAACCTACAGGAGGGCTGCTTTCATCATCACTTATTTTCGGACGTACAAGAACACCGAGTACTGGCCAGAAGTTACCGTGGCCAACACGTTTCCCTACTGGTGAACATTTACTTGAAATAAGGCGGCAGAGACCAAATGGCTATCCATTCTAAACATTTGTTTGTAGGTGTCGGTGTGGGATAGGTAAGGACAGGTACAAATTAACAGGGTAGGGTGTGGGATAGGTAAGGATTAAGGGGGCCAGGTGGTGGTAAGGAAGGGAGGAAGGAGAAGTCTGGGAAAAGGAAACAGGAATGTATGGGAATAAATTATTAGCTTCACCAAAATTTACAGACCGAGAGCCCCCTCCCTAGTGAGGGTCGAACCCAGGGCCTTTGCATTGACCTATGCCCCTAGATGGTTTTTTGAGGCAGGGTTTCCTCAAGTCACAGTTGCCTGGAATGAGCTCAAATTTGCAGTCTTCCTGACTCAGCCTCTCAAAGGGTTGCTGGCCAGTCTTTTCATGATTGAAAGGACAGGTATACTTCGTTCCCTTTACTAGTAGTGAGCCTGACTCTGACTGAAAAGCAGCCCCAGCATGTGGTAGAGCCCCGTGAGGCAGATCATTAACCCAAAGGTGGATGGCTTGACTGCCAGAAACAGGAAACAGCAACCTTGGTGAGGCAAAGGTTATTTACAGAAACAAGACCCTGTACAGAAAGAGTAAAATAAACTACAATGGGGCAAAAAGGGAGGAACCTTCTGTCCCCACTGGAAGTTAGGAATGGAAGGCCCTCTTCTCACTCACATCTGGACTAGTTAAAGCAGAGCCAGAAAATATGGGTGTGCAGTGATCACTGTGTAATATCTGGCTGAATAGTCCAGGGGCATAAAATCCAGCCCAACCTCTGCTAGACTTAGGAACAAAAGGGTGCCTTTTTACTTTTTTAAGGCGTTTTAGTTTTAGGGCTGCCCAGGATGGCCTCAAACTTGGGATTCTCTTGACTCAGCCTCCAGAGTACTGAGACAACAGGGGAGTACCACCACTTCAGGCTCAGGGGTGCCTCTAATTCATACTGAGGCATTATCTTCCTACCCAGCTGCACTGCCACCCGAGTAAGGACTTTTTTTGGGGGAGGGGGGGTTGAGACAGGGTCTCACTATGTAGTTGAGAATGACCTGGAACTCACTATATAGCCCAGGCTCGTCTCAAACTCAAAGTAATCCTCCTGCCTCAGCCTCTGCAAGGACTCTTAATACTGTATCCTACTGAGTTTGCATCCCTGTAGTCATCAGGGCTGTTCTAGCATGGTACAGGGGTAAGACACCGGAAGCACTTTCAGGCTTAACACAACAGTCTGACTAGTTCCTAAAGTAGAATTACTTCAAGATAAAGTCCCTAGGACAAAGGGACTCTTTAAAGGTAGTTAATAAGGAGGGGGACAGTTTTGTGTCAGGTAGGAAGCAGGACCAGGTATCTTTAAAAATCCCTTCCAACTCTAGCATTACGTGAGTCTGGCTGTTATGCTTCAACCAGGACAGGTCCCAAAATAGTAAAGCAAAGCCAGCAATGAGATTTCAGTAATGATTCTGTGGGGGAATGACCTCAGGACACCATTTAATCTCCACTTCCCCATGTACACAAGTGATTTCACAACTCTTGGCAAAAACAATGCTGTAAAAATAGTTTATTGGTTACAAAAAATACTGTATTTGAAAAATACCCTTCTAAGATACTGAAGTAATTTGTATACTTCATTTTATTCATCCACACAGCAGAAACACTGGAAATGAGAAAACAAAACATGCCTTTTCGTATGTTTAGCACCACAACACAGCCAGTACCACCGGCCTCCTGTTGTGTTGGCTCGGATGGGGTGGAGGAGCCATTTGAATGCTCAAGAGGTTCTGGCTTCTAGTATTACTCCAACTTCTACAGAACAGTGGGATGGGTGCCCATGCTATTTGGCCATGTGATTCCTCAGAGACAGGGAAGAGATTTGAAGGAGATAAAATATTTCAAATAACTGTCAACATTCTAGGGTGGTTACTCCAAAGGGCTCAGAGGTAGGAAAGTAATCTGTCCTTATTCTCTTTCTATACAGAAAAGTCTCATTCAGGATTAAGCCACATGGGAATCCACTACTCTGCCAAATGCACAGCAGGTTGGGTACTCACCACTCCAAGAGCTTCCTCCCATCAGCATGGGCAATGCCCTCAGAGACCAGATGGAATGTCCCTTTCAGAGAGGCTCTTCCATGCCCACACTGGACCCAATGGCTGACTGCACTCCAGAGGCTCCTACTCCCAATTTGCATAGCTTTATATTCTTTTCCCTTCTTGTGTTATACTCTTCAAACACTTCCATGCTTGCCAGTAGGCTACTATTCAAACTCAGGTGTTGACTGTTTGTTGTTGTTGTTGTTTTCTGAGACACTGTGTAGCCCAGGCAGGTCTTGAACTCATGGTGAGCCTCCTGCCTTAGCCTCCCGAGGACAGGTATACAGGGATGCTCCACCACACATGGCCATAGCATTTACTTTTGCACAGCCCAAAGCCCCTGTATACCAGCTTCCTTCTATCAGTAACATCAGCCATTGTGGCCCAGGAAACGTTAAGGGACCAGCACTCCCTGTTGACCCAGGATGAGATAACTTTTAAAATGACTTTTTAAAAAAGATAGCCAAGCACGTAAGAGTCGAATAAATATTGATTCTAAAGCACCCTGCTGGAAAGCTCCACCTAGTCCAAGGCTGCTGCCACCACACATCTCCAGGGCCTGTAAGAAACATTAGTCATGCTCATTGATGGCAAAACACCAATTTTTTTGTTTTGTTTTGTTTTTTGAGACAGGGTCTCACTATGTCGTTGAGACTGACCTGGAACTTACTATGTAGCCCAGGCTGGTCTCGAACTCACAGTGATCCTCCTGCCTCAGCCTCCAAGTGCTGGGATTACAGGCGTGTGCCACCACGCCTAGCATAACACCAATTTTTGAAACAGGCAAAAGATGTCTGATGGCAAATCTGGTGAATTAGCTAAACAGTACACTGCACAGATTCAGTAGGAATTACAGTGTTTTCTTGGGCAGAAAATATTGTATTTGTACTTGATAAGCAAAGCGCCTCAAGGAAAAAAGTTTAAAAGCAAAGAGTTTACATAAGTACCCGAAAGAGTTTTACTAAGGATCACATGACAGATGCAAAAAAGTACAGAAGAGGTGCACACTACCTTGCCCTTTCCTAGAGTCAGGAATGGAGGCTAAAGTTGCAGGTATTGTGTCCCTAAGGTATTCGTCAGGTCTTCTTTTCTAGGTTCTATAGTATAACCAGAAAACAGTTGATTCAACTGTGAGAAGACAATGCCCAAAAGTGTTTCCAGGAGGCTGAGGCAGGAGGATCGCTGTAAATTCAAGACCAGCGTGGCGTACATAGTGAGTTCCAGGGCAGTCTCAACTATGTAGTGAGACCCTGTCTCAAAAATAAAAAAAAAAAAAAAAAAAAAGAAATCAGAGTTCCAGTGAAATTCTATGTTGCAAGTCATAAAATCTGTTAAAAGAGCTAGAAGACTAAAATGACTGTGTGTCTGACCTGCAGGAAGAAGGTAAAGTTTGGCCCAGAGGTTATGGAGACCAGATAACACTGTAAATACAAAGGCACTTCTTATACAGTTGCATAGAGGGCAAAGATTTTCTCCTTTGAAAGCAGAACTGAGCCCCAGGCTGTGAGTTTAAGGCACTTAACCTTGGGCAAGCGCTGTGAGTGTGAAACCCTCTGGTCCCTGGCTGTCTTCATATCCAGGCCTTTCTAACTTACCACCTCACTCACCATGCCAACATTCCTCAGGCACTGCAAGCTATGGTTCAGTGCTTAATATCTAAATGGTGTAGCTGAAGTAGCTGCCTTGCCCCATTTGAGAGGGCTGGTTTTCAGGGATGCAGTGCTGTCAGGTGTCTTTTAAAAGAAATTCCACTGGGATGAAACAGACTGATCTTGAGACCCTGATACAGATCCTTGCCCCATTTGAGAGGGCTGGTTTTCAGGGATGCAGTGCTGTCAGGTGTCTTTTAAAAGAAGTTCCACTGGGATGAAACAGACTGATCTTGAAACCCCTAGGGCAGGGGGCCTTGTTTTCAGTAAGTCTCAGAGCCCACAAGCTCGTGTACACCCAACACTGCAAGTCACTGAGGGTAAGCTGATTTTCTGGAGAACAGCTACTTCGGTGCATAGGATATCCTGTGGACTTCAGACCTTAGCCTAACCCTTTTTCCATATGATGCTAGGGATTGAACCCAGGGCCTTACATATGCTAGCGAAGCACTATACCACTGGGCTACACTCACAGCTCTCTCTGCCTGTGTTTAAAAATGTTCCCTAATGGCCAGGAGCTTAGCTCATTGGCAGAGTACTTGCCTGACATACAAAAGGCCCTGGGTTTCAAACCTAGGGCTGTTTTTGTTTTTTATTTGTTTGTTTTAAGTTCTCTAGGTGAAAGCATTACTACTCTTGGGGATGTTTAAGTATCTGATTCATATACTGTTAGGAAGTAACAAAGAAGAAAACATGGGGGCAGACAAAAGGGAATCATTTTACTTTCTAGGGCATTTGTCGTTTAGGAATTTTCTTAAAACTAAGGCTCCAAACATTCAATTATTACTAATTTGAGTTTCACTTCATATATATGTTCAAGACTATTAAGTCACAATTGGAGAGTCAGTTTTGATAAGCTTTTTTTGTTTTTGTTTTTGTTTTTGGTACCAGGGATTGAACTCGGGTCCTTGCGCTTGTAAGGCAGGCTACCGAACTGCTGAGCTAAATCCCCGGCCCTTGATAAGCTTGTTTTGATAATTTCCCTTTAGTCTGAGCAGCAACAGCTATGCACAGCTAGGAATGAGATCAAAAGCCGGAATTTTGTTGCCCTAGCCAAGGAAGGTTTAACTGCAAGAAATCTTATAGCTTAAGCCCAGCATCTTTGTCTTGAGGCAATCTAGAGAATACAAAGGATAGAGCCTGCAAGCAACCAGGAGAAGCCATGGAAGGGGAACGAGACATCCTTCCAAGCAGGCCTCAGAAACAAAGGTCTCCTGAGGTATTGGTATCAGAACCATTTGGAGAACCTGTTGAAAAGGCAGATCTCCAGGATCCTCCCACCTCCAAAGTCCTGAGGAGTGGAGTTGCATAATCATGTGGGGTGGGGGGAGAACTAATGAATTCTACCTGAAGCAAAAAGAGGGAAAGGGGAGGAGAAAAAAGACTGAGGAAAACAAGGGTGGAAGTGAACAGACACGAAAAAGAATAACCTAACAAACATGGCCCCTGGAGCTGGATGGAGCATGGCTCACAGAATGGCCAGGGATATGACCTCAGTGAGACAGCAAGCATCATGTTGGCAAAAGGCTTCATAAACCCTGACTCCCCTAGTCTCTGCTTCCACAAGCTAACTACACAAAATTCTCCACTGATTCCAGGATGTCAGGCCAGGCAAATGTTTCAACATATAAGAAAGAACTGCAAGGGATGTGGGCCAGGAGTAGTCCTTGTGGATGCAGCAGGTGGAGGGGTGGGAGACCCTCAAGATCAGACAGACTAGCCCTGGCACCCCCAAACTAGAAGTGAGCTCCCCGGCAGAATTCTTCCAAGTGCAGTGACTCCAGGTACAAAGACTCCTTCCACCTGGTCAGCGTTGGCTCTGGCGCTTTGTCATTTCCTCCTGGATACGCAACTTGAGGGCCTCTCGCATGGGTGCATCCAGAGGCGTGTGCGCTGACACCTCTTCACTCACCCTTCCTGGGTCATCATCCTACATGGAGGAAGTCAGGAAGCTCAGGGCCTGACCTCTCAGAAGGTAACCTGCCTTGTTCCTAGACCACACTCTCACGAAATTTGGCTCAAGGTTTCTTGCAAGTGCCTGTCATTTCTCAGGTAACAGTGATTCTCAACTAGGGAGCTGCAACTTCTCCCTGTTCCCCCTCCAAAGAATCACTGTGTGGCAGCAACACCCAGCAGTACTATGCTGCTGCGTGGAGCAATGGCTTCCCACTGGCCCAGATGCAGACAGGGTCTGGCAGTGATTTCTACCATAGCCCAGGGCCTTGAGCTGCAGCTGTTTCCATAAGGCGTACCTGATACACGATAACTGATGTGACCTCTCCACTGTCCGCCTCGTATTCTAAGCAGAAGAGCTGACGGCCTGAAGGCTCCAGCTCAGAGCCACCACTGCTGCTTTCACCGTATTCCTCACAGCCTGGGTTGACTGCAGCCACAGAGTCATCTGGAAGGATGAACCAGAGAGAGGGAGGGGCGGGGGATGCTGCTGAAGCCCCTGGCCACAGAGATGATGTGGGGAATAATATGACAAAAGAAAGCCCCAATCTTCTGATGGCCCCTGTGTGTGGTATGTGCCTCTCTTGCCTGCCATCAATCAGTAATTTTACCTCCCTCTGCATCTCTGCTCTGGGGACAGCACAGCAGTTTTATGAAACAGGTAAACAGTGCACACCTGTCCAGCAAACAGGACTGGAAGATAGTGGAAGAGTGGACAGACCTCTCCCTGGGTTATCAGGTTCTGCCATTTACAAGGTCTGAGATGGTGGGCATGTTACTTAACCTCTCTGTGCCGCCTGCCTAACTGTGAAACAAATGACAAGAATTCTCACTTATAGGGTCCTACAGACTTAAAGGATTAATAAATGTACGACCTAAAATCACTTTAAAGAATGTCAGACAATATTTTTACTGTTATCTCTAGATCACAAGGAACATGGGGAAATGGCCATTTCCCCAGGTTCACTCCGTAATTATGGCCTGTTTACTTACACAGGTGCCAGGCTTTCTGATAGGTAGCGGAATTGCAAACAATGGTTATAGGGGTCAAACTGGCAGAAAAAGGATCCCGTTCAGGTTCCCGGCAACCCTCTGTAATAGCAATGCTTAGTTGGGGCCAGGGGCTCTCCCAGTTCTAGTGAGCAGATGTGGGGTCCGCTGAGGCGCAGGCTCCAGGCAGGGACGAGGAGAGCCGGGTCCTGGTTCTCCCGACAGGGCAGGGGGCGCGGTGGGCGGCCCTCACCTCGGCGGCGCGGCAGGTACACCTGCAGGTCCGGCTTGCGGGGCCGCGTGG